GAAAAATCTATAATCGCTCAGCTAATCAAAAAGTTTCCACCTTTTAGAAAAACTGAAGATTCATATTACATCCGAAAGAACCCGTAAGTGTACCCTATTCTAAGCCAGCTTACCGCAGTGCACACTCCCAAGCCCTATTTTCTTTTAATATAAATTTCAACACTGTACCACCATCCAGGTTTGGATCTCCAAAGTGGCCACTTCTGTTCAAGATTTATGAGAGAATTTTTTTTTTTTTTTTACTTTTCGCCTCCACCTTGCATTCTACATTTATTTCCTGTCTTATATTAGTTGATTTTTTAACTCCAACAACATTCGTTACAGAGTTTTGAAATACTCAGATCAAAAATAATGAGAGTAAATATGTGTAAAACGCACAGAAAATTTCAAAGTATAAATTATTTTGATATATTGGGTTTTTGGACTTTATCCATCGTCCTGGTTTTTAAGATAACTAATAAAAACACGACGTTTCGGAAACTGGATCTGTTTCCGTCCTCAGGTGAAGGAAAACACCTATTCTGTTGGGTCCGTTAGAAAGAGCTAGCCTCAATTACTGGACCAAACGGACCTAACGGACCCAACAGAATAGGTGTTTTCCTTCACCTGAGGACGGAAACAGATCCAGTTTCCGTAACGTCGTGTTTTTATTAGTTATCTTAAAAACCAGGACGATGGATAAAGTCCAAAAACCCAATATATCAGTGTGTTATACAGCATCGTCAGAATCCTATAGTAATAAATTATTTTGTACTTCTTTAGAGTGGTGTTCCGTTCAAATCTAACACAAACATGGATACCACCTGCTCGACACAAATTAATTCAACGAGAACTACTTTACATCAAAGAAAACAAAGGCCATCATTTTAGAATATTAAACCTTTTAATTCAGTGTTTCACAATTCTGTGCTATGATGATGATAAAGTTAAACCTTATACTAATCCCATGGAAAACTGACTAGAGAGATATAGCGAATGTATAAATACAAAAGAATGCCATCTCTTATCAGCTGCCAGTATCTAGAAACAGTTGATTAATACGTGGCCATTATACTGCAGAGAACAATGATAGTGTGGCAATGGCTTTACTGGTCCCTTCATTTCTCAATATAAAGCCGAGGATACTAATAATACAAAAACACATGCAGTGAGAAGGCAAGAGACTTTGGCTTCATTCATTCACATATATTGTCACGTGTACTAGTGACTAGAGACGGGGTTCGAATTTGTAATTTGATTTACTGACCACCAATTACAGACCGTAACTACAATTAATTATAAAACTTCCAAGATTACTGTAATTATAACACATAAATAAAAATATTTTATATTTCCTTATATTAGTCGTTGTTAGGTAACAGATCTAAACAATGGCTATTCTTCTGCAAAATTTTCCCTATCTGTTTCCTGACAATGGATTTTAACACAAACTATAATTGTCACACTGCAGAATCACTGCACTACAGCACACATTAAGTCTACACAGGCCGACTTCTAATTCTTATTCAACTGCGAACTTCCTGTGGCTATCTCTTCCCGAGAACTGACTGACTCGTAGAGCCGATAGTCTTCAAGATAACTCCTCTGCACGGACCCCACGGAAAACACCGTGTTCTTTTGTTAAGGATGCGTGTTTACAGCTTCGTTGCCTATCAAAATACGTCCTATTGTTCTGTGCGTTTGCTTGGCGCAGACCGCGTACAAAACAAGGTTTCCCCAATAATGCTCTCACGTTTTTAAGTGAGCGGTATACCGGCCGTCGCATAGAAACGGCAGTTTTTCTGTTGTTGCCTGCATTCGTTGCCGTGAGAATGTTTACGAACATTCCTGTATTGTTATAGAAACGGCTCATTTGTCACAATATGTACATACACACACATGCAAACAGATAACATGCCAAACAAT